AGGTCAGTACCAAGCACAGGCCAGCCAGATAGCTGAGGCATTGCCTCCAGAAGTCAAAGTCAAAGATGACCTTACCCTCCCACCCACCATCAACAGCTATCCTTTCTCCTCCTTTGTTAAGTCACACTTCCAGGTGGGAACTCTTTTTATATCTCTTCATTGCTCTCCCACTGGGGAGAAACACCACTTCTAGTAACACCAGGAACAAACTCTGTTTCTGTCCTTTTGTTTCTCTGTAGAAGACAGATTTCCCTGCCCCTGGTCAGCCCCTGCAGCACCCCTTAACCCATCTGGATGCTGAAAACGAGGAGAGCGCGCTTGAGATCAACAAACTGGTAAGAGACATCTTTCTTGACCAGGGCCTCATTGAAGAACAGGTGGGCATAAGACAATGTTTTGATGCCATTGTACAACAAGATGCTGGTGGTGGCGGAGATCTGTCTTCTCAAGCACTTATTCTTATCTGTCAGTCATAAAAAAGTTTAATTTAACCCAGAGCTCTTCCATGATGTGGTTTATAGTAAACATATTGATTGTATCTCAGGCTTACAGTTGTGTCAGTACACAGCAGGGGACAGCGAACTGTTGTATAAAGGCTGGAAAAAGGCAGGGACTTTGTCATCAAGAAAACTACACCTGGAACCACACCCTAATTCTGTAGTGCTTGTGTGAGGGGGATGATGTTATTTCATCTCTGTGGATGTGAAACATACAGTTCTTCTTAAAAATGGTAATGTTGACTCTCTGAAAATAGAAAGAAACTTCAGATAATTTCTAAGTAAATCTGGTAATCCTTTTGAGAATTACATGTAATTAAAATAAGCCCATTGGGAAAGGTAATAGCTAAAACCAGTTTCTTGTTTTGTCCTAATGATCCCAATTATAGAAGAGCATAAGCTTCAATAAAATCTTGTGAATTGGGTTGTGTTCAAGCAGACTACTGTTATTTTTCCTGAAGATCGAAGGTAATTTTTCTCCATTGCTAATCAAAAAAATAGGGATTTACTACAAAGAATTCCATGAGAACTAAACAACCACCACCTCCTGTTTTTCTCAGTGAATCTTTGACACGCTTACTACCATTAACCATATTAAGAAGTGTTGTTCTCTGAGAGAAAAAAATAGGCCATCACTCATAAATGTTCTTTCCAAAGCTGTCCGTGGCACATTTTAGAAAAGTTTTCATCTAATGACATATTGAAGTGTAGAAGCTGAAAGAAATTATTCTGTACCTAAGGGTGAGAAGTACAAATTACAAAAGCATCTAAGATGTTGATAGGCATAGCCAGGAAGCTGAATCGTTGCTTAAGTGATTTGGTTGAGATACCACATCTCATACTACTTGGTATAATATTAACTACACCAAAGTTTTTTTAACATCCAGTTGTTAGTGTTTCCTCACGTCTGGCTCTCTTTTCACAAAGATCAGCTAAGCATCAATTTCTTTTACATCTTTTTACAGCTAGGAAGCCTGTGGGCTCAGACACAGTAACAAATACACAAGCAAGTTACTGTAGGCTATCTGAGCTCTGCCAAAGAAGGGGAAGTATTTTGCCCAAGAAAAAAATCAGAGGCATAACTAAGAAGAGACTGACGTCGTCCTGACTTTTAGTCAGGGTCCAATCTTTATGAACACTGTGTCCCAAATTCCCCAGAACTTAGGTGATACACAAAACTTGAGAACAGATCCTGATCTCAGTGTTGACTACTCTTCTTAGGCTCACAAACATCCTGGTGTCTACAACCCAGGTTGTCACCTCACAACACAGTTTGGGACAGAGGGTTACAGCTAGAGCTCTCTTTTTTTGTCCCCTGGATGTTTCTAGATTTTGCGGTTCATTGGTGACAAGAATCTCCATGGCTGGCAGCAGATACTTCTGGGCAACTACATTGCTGGAAGAGGTTTGAATAACGTGGCCCTGCGCAATGAAATCTTCAGTCAGGTGGTTGCACAGACATGGAAGAACACAGACGTGGAGCACAGCCAGCGAGCTTGGGTCCTGATGGCGACTTTGCTGAGCTGCTTTGCCCCTTCACCAGCACTGGAGAAGCCGTTGCTGAAGTAAGGAGGAGGAAAGATCTAGCTACACTTTCATTAAGGTTGAGAGAGATGAGCGGTGTGCTAAAGGCAGTTGCCTTTTTCTAGATTTGTGTCAGATCATGGCATGGAGGGCTACAATGCTGTTTGCCAGCGCAAGATCTTGACAGCAGCACAGCACACAGAGGTGGACTCTACATTCTCTCGGGCCTACCCTCCCACTCAGCTGGAGTGGACTGCAAACCAGAGGAGAGGGAAGATGGTTCTGGATGTTCATACCTTTAATGGTAACGCGTGCTTCTGCCCTTCTGCTATCTTCTAGTCCCTAAGGACTTTTCCAGTGCAGAAATCAGCAATCAGAAAATACTTCCCTCAGCTGGGTAAAGAGGGATCAGAACACCAATTCCTTCTGGCTGGTACAAGCATGGGGGGATACAAGCATCTGAATCTAGACCCAAAACTCCCAAAGTCTGAGCCTGATGAGCTCAGACCTTCTACTCAGGCTGGGGGATGAGTTTCTTCTGAGTTTGGGCCCATCTCAACAGAGGACTGTTCTGGTTGTGCATCTCTGTGGGTCTAGTTTTCCTGTTATCCATTATTGCATAGCCCAGGCAGCAGCAACTGCTGCCTTTGTTACAGGGACTTTCTGCCTTTCTCCCTTCTCAAATATTGGCTTATGCTGCCTCTTGAGTGCTCAGAAGCTCTGTGAATTTAATGCAGAACATCCCTGCTCTGGCTCCTTGGTGAGAGGAGTGGTGGCCCAAGTGAACCAGGACGCTGCGAGGGTTTTCAGCTGTCAGGTTGGAAATGCCAACCTGTGCCATCAAACAGTTACTTTGGATGTGAATGTGTTCATGTGGAGCCCTCCATGTGCTTTCAGTCCTCCTGTGGCCCCCCCTCAGGAGTGTGTGAGGCTTTCCAGCTGGGTTCTGCCTGTGTCCTGCAGAGCTTAGGTGTTGCTTTGGGTCCTGCCAGGGAGGCTGTGTGTACTGACTTTTTTTTTTTGTGCTAGAGGAGAAGATCTCAGCTGAGGTGGAGTCCTGGATGACTGGGGAGCAGTATGCAGGCTGTCTCCTGAGTGCAAGGTACTGCCAGAGGATGGGAGAAGATCTGGGGGTGTGAAAGAGGCAGTCATTAGTTCTAAGGTTCAGACTGGTCGGGGCTGCAGGCTAGAATTTATATGGTCAGATGTGGAATGGCCACTCCTTACCCGCTCCGGCTTGGGCTCTCTCCTTCACCCTTCCATCTGTGTGCGTAAACTGTGGGCCTCTTTAGGAACAGAGGAATCACTGGCGTGATCTGTCAGAGCAGCTTCGGAGAAAAGATGGGGAAAAAAAAAAAAGGACAAATCTTGAGTGATTCTAGTTTTTTTTTTCCTCCTGACCCTGGGCACTTAATAGTTGATTCACACCCTAAATCTTAAGGACTTAAGCCAGGATAGACAAGGCAAGAAGAAACTGAATGCAATGTTTTCCTTTCTCTCCCTTTCCCCTGCCTACCTGGACACCTTTTCTCTCCTTCCTTTCCCTGTTACCAGGGGCTGCGATAAGAAGTCTCGAGGGTGGTCTATCTCTATGTTTACTGGCAACACATGGCAGGACCTCCTGGGCTGTGACTTTGTGCTGGACCTCATTGGAGAGATGGAGGAGGCCAGCAACCTCAGCAGCCCCTCTCAGTCCTCAGCTGAGTACCCCATCACTTCCGAAAGGGAGAGAAGCTTCCTCCAGAACTCTGACCTGGATTCGTAAGTCACCTAATCCTCCTGCCCCACCACTTGCGGCCCTGTCACCGCGTGGCTCATCTTTCTCTTGGCACTCTGTTCTGTCCTCATCTCATTTTCCTCTTCAACAGGATCCCTCCTGCTCCAGGCATCCGGGCCCCTACCTTCCCACCACCTAGCTTGAGTCCAGAATTCAACAATCTCCATCCAGGTAAGCTCTTGCCCAGGACTGTGGATGGCACTGGGAAGGGCCAGATGGGCCCCAGCCAGGGAATCGGAGCAGAGGGGGGGGACAGGTGATTCTTCTTGATGTAGAGTGAGGAAGGGCTCCACTCCAAAACATGACTGTCTAATAGGAACTGGAGACAGGGGGAATGTTCCTTGCCTGCCTTGTCACCAGACTTCTCTCTGCTCTTAGATCCAAGGTTCGGAGATGACCTGAGGAGCCCTGTAGGCTTGGATCACTATGTGGATGATCTCTTCAGCACTGTGCTGCATCAAGGCTCCAGAGTACCAGTAAGTCCCTTGATGGTTCCCTCTTACCTTCTCTCTGCAGCTCTCCTGTCCCCGTGACTCCCTCAAGCATGCCTCTGCCTATTCACTCTGCCTCTGCTCAGCTCAGATATGCCTTTGCATGGCTCTCCCTCTGTGAAGTCTCTTTCTGAGCTCAGATAACTCTGTTTTTACTTGATGCAGGATATGGAGAGCAGGGAGAGTCTGACTGGACGCATGAAAGGAGGTGGGAAGATTGGACCCACACAGAGAGGTATCTTCCCTTCTGCAGGTCTGTAAGGGGATGGGGAGAGCTGGGAACACCTGTGGGGCTACATAAGCTTCAGTGAGCACAGGTCAGGGAGTCTCTTAAATGCTAATTATTGCATGGGCTCAACTGATTCATGAAGAGCATTGGTTTTTAGCATAGGTCATCAGAAGTTGCACTCCTCACTCCCAGGTGCTGGGAGACGGATGCTTTGGGGAAGGTGCTAGGTAAGGGTACCACCTTTGTTCTGCTTTTAATTTCTCTCTCGAGTTGGTCTTGCGGTCAAGGCAACAGGTAGCTTGCTTCTGACCCAGGCCACCTCTTCCCTAGGCCAATACTCGTAAGTTCTGTATTCATCTTCTGTTCATCTTGTGCTTTCACAAAATAGTTGCTGCTTTTCTCAGGGGAGGGTTTTAATCTTTCTTATTGCTTCCTTATAGACTTTCCCATCATCTCTAGCTATTCCTTAGGTTAGTATGTCTGAACCCTGTAGACGTTCTGGTTTGTGTGTTTGGTTTCTTTACTTTTTCTCATTTCTGTAGAGCTGACACTCAGGTATTTTCAGTAGGGTGGAGTCAAACACCAATGAGCGTGACGTCCCATGGTATGGAATGTCCCTTTGGCCAGTTTGGCTGTGCCCCCTCCCAGCTTCTTGTGCACCTCCAGCCTCCTCAGTCAGTAGAGCATGGAAAACTAAAAAGTCCTTGGCTGGTGTAAGCACTGCTTAGCAACAACTAAAACATCGGTGCGTTATCAACATTGTTCTCATCCTAAATCCAAAACACAGCACCGTACCAGCTACTAGGAAGGAAATTAACTCTCTCCCTGCCGAAATCAGGACACTCACTCCCAGCTGAGACTGATCTCCATGCCCATTGCTCTGCTGGCTTTGCCCTCAGTGGGATTGCTGTTTTGTGGCCTCATGTGGGACTTGACTGCTGGGAGCAGAGGAATTTTTTTCTCCCCACAGTTCCTTCACAGTGCCACCCAGGCCAGGGCTCACTGTTCATTTACCCTTGCTATCTGCTGCAAAGAGACCAGCATGGATCTGGCAGGCCCAGAGATCTTTGCCCAACCTTCAGGAGAAACCCTTCTCTGTAATCATACACAGGCAGGAATTATATATATGCTTAGTCATGAAGGATGGTGGTGTCCTAAGCTACAGTGCAGAAGCAGGGTCTGGATCCTGCTATTGTAAAGTCTGGCAGGCCACACTTTTCTCTTAAGTTTCCTTTTTCCACCTGAGTTTTGCTGTGTCCTGCTGTGTGTGAAGAGGTAAACCATTCACATGTCCCCATGGTTGGTGCATGTGGAGAGAACCAGAGGTACCCAGCTTATGTGATGTGTTCTGTGCGGATTGATCAGGGCTTTCTGACCTGGGATTCCCCAAAAGCACTGTGCATGTGGCCTTTTGCCTCTAGGCTTCTCTGGAATGACTCAAGCACCAGTTTACCAGTCTGTGCCTTCAATGATGGGGATGCCAGCGGCCATGCCTATGATGCCAGCGGCTGGCGGGATTGCACCTATGCCAGGTAATAATTCAGTAACTATACAGGGGAAAAGGATGGAAGGGTGGGTGTCGTAATGGAGCCTGTGCATTTGAATGTCAGGTGGGGTGCACGGTGAACACTCAGCTCTGGGCTGATGCTCGGGCATTGTGGGGAATGAGTGCCTGTGGGTGTTTGCAGACATGTGTGTGTCTTCTACAGCCATGGTTATGCCCCAGCCTGTGGTTCCAGCTGTAGATCCCAATCAGTTAGCAGCACAACAGCAAACCTTTATCAACCAGCAAGCCATGCTCATGGTGAGTGGAAGGGACCGGCTGGGTGGGGCTCAGGAACTGGGGAAGAACAACGCACTGGCGTATGTGCTGTGAAGAGGTTAGCCATGCTCCACTCCTGCATTAGGCCTGCTCTGTAACACTCTGTGTTTATGTGCTGGGGGTTAGGTATATAAAGTTGGGATTATTTAAGACTGCAAAACTGGGAACCCCCTTTTTGCTGCTTTGTGTACATGAGGACACTGAGGCACCATAGGTGAGTGAGTAGCAGGGACAAGAGCAGGCCCCGAGAAACCTCAGCTGTAATTCCCACGTGTTTTTAAGCTGGAATTTGCTACAGATGCAGATCTGCAGTATTCTGCTTTCTGTACAAAGCCTTGTGAGTGCATGGAGGTCCCAGGCTATCTCACTGATAGCTGAGTCTTTGGGGTGTTGTTAGGAGCTCTGCATACTTGGCCAGGTGGGAGCAGACTCCCTGGGCATGCCTTGTCCATAATACTGGGAAATTTGCAGCGGACTATGTAGATGTTCTGTGATTACCAGTGAAAGAATAGGACAGCCTGACTAATGGCTGGTGATTTTGTGTAGCCTAGAGCTCACAGACGTTGCAATTCCTTCTTCCAGGCCCAGCAGGTGACCCTTCAAGCCATGAGCATTTCCCAGCAGCAGCAGCAACAGCAGCGGTGGCAACAGTCTCTTGAGAACTCAAAGCCAAGAGTCTCAAGTCCACCACAAGCCCAAGCCTCAGCTCCAGCCCCGGCCCCAGCCACTTCCCCAAAACCCAAGAAGCCTCCCAGCAGCCAGAATGCTACACCACCCCCAAAGGCTCCAGAACCACCAGCTAAGGCAGAAGAACCGGTATTAGAAACAAACAGTGGTGGTTAATTTGGTTTGAATTTCATGACTTGCGTTTGCTCTGCTTCCCTACAGTGTGACAGTGGTTTGGCAGAGAGGAGAGCAGAGGGCTATGCTTACCTATGATACTGAGACCTTTCAAACTCTGCTTGCTGAGTCTTTAAGACACAGGATCAAACCTTGGTGGCATTAGCTCTGCGGAGGTTTGGCTGCAGTGTTGGCCAATTAATTTCCAGCTGATCTGAATTTTTCCATAGGAAAATTCATTACTCGGAGATCTTTATCTTCCAGCAAGCTCTCTTGGGCCTCTAACATATTCCTCCTTCTCTGGACTTTGTTGATGATTCCTTGGGTCAGAGACTGATCTCTTGGGATGCCCCCAGACAGGGAGAAGTTCCAGATCAGAACTTGGCGAGGGAAGATCACCTCTGAACTTAAGGGCGCTGTGGAGGTATCTGCTGGCTAGTGCTAACTAACCATGTTGTGAACCGCTTGCAGGTTTATGACTACACGGAAGACGAGTTCTCCGACAGTGAAGATGATGACTATCCTCGAGAAACTTTCCAGCAGAAGAGAGAATATTTTCAGAAGATGGGTGAGCATCTACCACTTTGGGAATTTCACTCATCTTAACACCTTGTTCTGCAGCCTCCCTGGCATAACAAGGTGTTCTTGTCTCCCTGTCTGGAACCCAGCTAATCCCTGCAGGAGCTGCTGATGCTGTGTGTAGCAGGAGTTTTGGGTGCCTGCTCAGCTGGCTACAATTCAGATTGTGAGGCGTTGTGTTGCCAGTTTTCTAGACATCTTTGGGCTTCTGACTGCCACACCCTCCTTTGTCTCTAGAAAGCATAGGCTTCTGCTGACTGATGCAAGGGTGGAAACTATGCCGGTAGTGCTAGGCTTTGGCTGTGGGTTTAACTAGCTCAGGTCCCCCTTTCTATGCAGGAGAGCAACAAATCCGAGTGAAGAAAGTCAGGCCTCCTTCCAAAACCTGGACCCCTCCAGCAAATCCCCAGCCAAAGCAGGAGGAGGAGAAGGAAGAGGAGCAGGAGAAGAGGGAAGAAGAGAAGCCCAGCCCTAAAACAGAGGCAGGTAAGATGCTGTGCAGTGGAGACCCAGGCAGGCTGACAAGCGGGAACTTTCTAGGAGCATCAGGCCAGGATATAGTCACAGGAGGAAAGGATCTGGCTCCTCTGGGAGTCTGCATCTTGACAGGAGAGGAGAGAGAGAAAGGTCTGAGCTTTGGGAAGTGGGATCCCAAAGCAAGGCAGTGGAAGGTCATGGCCAGTCAGCCTGGGGGTGAAAGAGAGGGCGCTTCAAATGAGATAATGGGATTTCTCCTGTGTCTTTGCTGGGCTGTTGGTTAAAGCTGTCATCCCCAATAGCTCCTGCTCCCCCTTTGCCACCTCCTGAGCCGAAGCCAAAAAAGCAGACACGAAAAGCGAAGAAGGAGCCACCTGTAGTGAAGCCTTCAGGCCCCGAGTCGCGGCCTGAACCCAGCCGGGAGATCCGCAACATCATTAAAATGTACCAGAGCAGGCCAGCCCCCGAGCCCCAGCCTATCGAGCCTGTCAGGTGAGAGAGTGGGGTCCACCCAGGTGGGCAGGGAGGAGATGAGTGGGACTATATCCCAGTGCTGCCACATGGCTCCACTGTGGCCACAACCCCTCTGCAGCCCCTGTAACTGTTCCCCATTTCCTTGCAGGAGAGTGTCTAAGCCATTTATGAAGAAGAACGACCCCAAAAATGAGGCTCTGGCCAAGCTGGGAATGATGAACCTCTCCTCTCCCAAATCAGTGAGTTCTTTGCTCTCCGGTCACCTAAGAGCTCAGCAGAGAGGGCCTGTATATCCAATCTCCAACAGACTGGGAGCTACTTGGTAGTGCAGTAGCAGCCAGGTGATTTCTTCTTGGGTTACTAGATAGCTGTGAGCTCATACCATGGTGCTGCCCATCCTAGACTGGGTTGCAGTCTGTAAAGTCACTTGAGGTCCTGGAGAAAAGGCTCTGGAGCAGCAAGTCCTATTGTGGTATGTTTAAGGCTGATCTGGAAGCAAGCAACTCATGTTCCCCACATTTGGCACCAAGGTCTTGGCCCATTAATGTCTTTTTTCCCCTTCCCAACTGGAGGCTTCAATCTCAAATACTTGGTTCTCTGCACTTGGGTTTGCTTGATCTTCATCTGTTTGTAGATCATGTGCTGATTGAAAGGTCCTGGTATCCCTGTTCACACAGATCTTGCTTCTAGGGTTGGACTGATGCCTTAGGGATGACTTGTAACAACAGCAGTATCAGGACAGAGCGCAGTAATGCAGAGAATGACCGGGTCAAATGGTTTTGCTGTCTTGCAGCCATCCCCCCTGCCACAAGAGAAGAGAACGCCTCCACCTCCCAAGCCTAAGCCAGGCTCAGCTTCCAGCTCTATCAAGGAGAAGCAGTTGCCTCTCCTGTCCATCTTCAGCCAGGAGAGTACCCCACCAGGTTCCCAGGCCCCTCCTGCTCCTCCTCCTCCTCCTCCCCCACCATTGCCTTCACCTCTTCTGCAAGGGAACCAAGGCTGGCAGGAATCCACAGGGAAGGGTGAGTATTGACTTCACCCAAGTGGGATTTGGTAGCGGTGGGAGGGGATGGGGTTGGAATCAGCCCAGTGGCCCGGGAGAGTCACAGCACATGTTCTGTCATCGGCCAGCTGGTCAAAGACTGAGTGGGCTGTGTGAAATCAGAGACTGTCACCGTAGTTCCAGTCTGGCCTCGCAGTCAGCATGGCACTTCCCAGCTCTAACTCTTCCCTTTCTTCCCAGTGCAGTGCAGGATGTCAGGCAAAAATGATGGAGGGGCTGGGTTTCTCTGGAAAAAATGCAGCTAAAAACAGAAAGGACCTTTGGGCTACAGCTTTATCAAGGTCCAGTCCACATTTTGTTTTATTACCTACCTGATGCATAACTACTTTATCAAAGCTGGAATTCAACAGGTGGACTTTAGACCAGGGAGGAATGGGAAGCCGGGTGTTTTACCTTCTAGAGCCTCTGGAGGGTCCTTAGAGACAGGCTGAGGAATGAGGGAATGTTTCTCAGAGGGAGAATGAGAGCCTGAGAGACCTTGGACACTGGTCACACATAAGGAGTGTCTGGACATTGCCCATCTGAAAAATGGCATAGCTAATGCTTATCAGCAGGAGTTTGGAAGTGTTATTCAGTCCTAGGTTTTCCTTCTGAATTGCAGTGGGATCCTGGAGTCATAATTCAATTTATACTTTGCTGCTATTTTGGATACATGTACCAATGTATTTCAAGCTGTTTAAAACTCTCATCAACATCACGTTTTATAACATACAAGGAACAGTCAGTCAAGCACATTACTGCAGGACTCCATCCTGCGTCAGATTCCCTGGTATAAAAGAATGTCCTGGTTTTACTCCCCCTCTCTTTTAAAAAATGGATCTTCAGGAAGTCCGGTGAAAGTAAATCGAAGTAACTAGATTGGCCTCAAAAATCCCTACGTACTTTTAATAGGAATATAGAAACAGCTGAACTGTGCGATCTACTACATTTCTTGTCTATGAACTCTGAAATTTTGAAAGTTGGGAGTGCTTAAATGAAGATATTCCTACCTTGTAAAGCAATGCCTTTGAATGGTTGTCTTCAGACTGAGCCTGTCTTTAACAGATCTCCTGCAGAGAGAAAATCCAGTGCAAGTACTGGGTGCCTTGTACCAGAACCTTGCAGTCTGCAAGCTCAGGGGAGAACTTTTATGTCCTTTTGAAACCTTTAGCAGGCTTTTTATAATGACATAAAGTGAAACCGTGTCTTCAAGCTTAAGCACATGGGTAATATTTTGCCTGGCACGCTGTGTGCTCCCTAACTCTGGAGTGATGCTATTATGAGCACTGAACTTTGTGACTAATACAGCAAGTATAAATGCTGGTACTCACATGATGACTGTTTTGTGCATGCATTCGTACTAGCTGATCACTGACCTTCAAGAGGGTTCTTGACAGTAATCTTCAGTCAGGCACAGGGCACTGTCCCCTTTCTCTTGGTAGGTCTTTGGCAGGTGGGAAGGTGACCCTGTAGTCAGCAAAGCCCATCTTCACTGCTCTCTCTCCTCCCGCAGACTCTACTGTAACAGTAGCAGAAGATGATGGCATCAAGACCCAGCTGTACAAGCTCGCTGCCAGTGTCAGCTTTTCCTATATCAACCCTGCCTGGAAAATCTTTCTGCGCAAAGAGGTACAGTTCACTAGCTGAGGGCTGGCTATGGGGGAGAGGGAACTGGTTCCGCATTTGGTTAAAATCCCTTTTTGTCATAGGCACCCAGTGTGAAATAAGAGCACAAAGGCAGTTCTGGGAGGAGGTCACACGACACGGGAGTTGGGGGCAGGGGATCATCTCGTAGGGCATCCAAGTCCTACTCTGCCTTACTGATTCTGGTGTCTCAGTTTCCCTACCTGTCTTTTCCTTCCTCTGTAAAACACTGAGAAATCTACAGATAAAGTAAATTTGTTGTTACCTGGTGCTTTCCTGTTAAAACAGTACAAGTGTGTTTAAAATGAAGTATTGGAGAGCGCACTGAACTGACCAGGGTTCATCCTGTGGTCTCACCACTTCACTCTTGGTCCTTTGCTCCTGGTCTTTCTGTTTACATTCACAGTGTCTCTTCCCTGCCTGTCCGTGGAGATGGACTCACTCCTCTGTGGCAGTAGGGCATATAGATTACAAAACATCCCTGGAGAGCTATTTCTGCAACATCTGTAAACATCTGTAACATTACTATTGTTTTTTATCCTCCTCTTGCAGGTGTTTTACCCCAAAGAAAACTTCAGTCACCCTTATTGTCTGAATTTGCTGTGTGAACAGGTATGTACTGGTGCATGACTCGAGGCCTGTTGTCTCTGTTACACTGCATAAGCTGCCTTTGCTTCTGCATCCCCAGCGGTGTTAGTCTCTTCTCCAGGTCCATCCAGTCAAGCCCCTGCTCACTCCTCTCTGAAACTCAGTCTGTTTAACGGCCTCAGATGCTCCAACACACTCAGATGTGGCCTTTTCAATGGAAGCCTCTCTGTTTCCTTCCTCTGCAGATCATGCGTGACACCTTCTCTGACTCCTGCCTTCGGATCTCCAGGGAGGAGAAGCGCAAGATGAAAGACCTGCTGAGTAATTAACAGCCCCATCATCCCTTCGTCCCCGTGCCCATCCCAGCTTTTGGTTTGAAACGAGAAATCTGCCTCCAAGCCCTTTCAGGCAGGACTTAGGGCAGAGGAGAAACGTTTGTCACTGCAGCAAGAAAGCACATTTGTGTGTGCTGTGTAGTGCAGTGTAGGAATGTTGTTTATCCCAAATAGCCAGAAAATGGCCCTGAAATTTCTCTGAGCCAGAAAAACTTAGTTCCGATATGTTTATTGTAGGGAGAGGAAACTGAGGCCCAAGGACGGGATTTTGAGTTGTCTCAAAATCCACCTGACTTCTTTGACAGGAGCTTCATGGAGAGGGGGAGAGAAACTAGTAGTAGACTGGTGTGTGCAAGTAACATGGTATCCTTTTGCCTCTGCATGTCGTTTGCTGCACTGTAATTGCTGAGGAGGGCTGGTGGGAAGGAGTCCCTGGGCAGAGGAAGACTTGGCCATCTTTGTCTTACTGAGGAAGCATCTGCTTTGTACCCCTGCTAGTGGAGTTCCGGGTTGGCAACGATGTCCAGTCCATTCGGGAGGATGGGATAAAGAAGAGGATTGTACTGGCTGCTCGAGATAACTGGGCTAACTATTTCTCCCGCCTTTTCCCAGTTCATGTGAGTCTTAATCTTTTCACCAGACCCGGGGCTTGCTTTAGCTCTGTGGCTCTAGTTCACCTGGGATCTCTTTCTGTCTCCCTGCCTGGCCACACATCAGTCATTCTTCTGCGCCTTCTGCACCTTGCTGGGTTTGACGCCTCTGTCAGCCTAGGGCCTCCCTCATGGTACATATGGTAGCATCATCTTCCCCTGCTGCATCCTGTCCGGGTGGGATGGAGCCTTTCATGCTCTCTGCTGCACTTCCCTTACAGGGTGAAAATGGAAGCGATGTCCAGATTCTGGGTGTTTCTCACCGGGGCATGCAGCTGCTGAAGGTGGTGAAAGCAGCTGGGTATAATCCTGAGCACCTAAAGATTCTTCGCAGCTACAGGTGAGCAAAAGGGCACTGGTTGCTGCAGGATGATAATTTGTTACTTGCAGGATGTTTTCAGAGTGTAGGAGGCAGACCAAACAGGTGAGCTGAAAATTGTCTGGTTGTGCTGTGCTTTCTAGGGTTGTCCTAGGCCAGCTGTGACTCACTGACCCTCCTTCTAATGAGTTTGGCCTTTCCCTTTCCTCCCTACCTTGTGTTTTGCTCACAGTAAGTGAGTGCTAGGTGTTAGTCAGCTCCATGCATGTCATCAGAAGGGAGGTCCTCAGAGTGGTACAGTGAAAGCCATGAGCAGCCTATGGTGCTATTACTGTTGTAATACAGTGCTGGTGAAAGGCCACCCTCTGGAGCATGCCGAGGCCTGTCTCCATTCTCAGTCTCTGGAATGAGCTCCCATCCCCATGATCTGCATCCCTAGCTCTGGCAGAGGGAGCCTGAGCATGCTGGCTGTGTTCTCAGCTTTGCAGATGTGCTGTCAGTGGAACTGAAGGGCAGCAATGCCCTGGAGCTCTCTCTGAAGACAGAGCAGCTCTTCCTGCACTCTCCAAAGGCTCCGCACATCAAGGCCATGGTGGAACTCTTCATCCAGGAGCTGAGGCAGGTGAGGGAGTGGCTGTAGTGCAGTAGGGAATGAAGGTGGTTTCCCACATGGATCCGAGAGGGTCCATGGGATGATATGGTCCAAATCCCTCACATCCTGGGGATGAGAGTTGACCTCCCCGTCACTTTTTCCCCAGGATACCAACTACGTTGTTGCTTTGCGCAGCTACATTGTGGATGACAAGAGCCTCCTTAGCTTCAAGAAGGGTGACCTCATCAAGCTACTGCCCATGCAAGGCGTAGAGCCAGGTGAGGGAGTTTGTTGAGATTGGCAGGAAAGGTGGGGACTGGGTTCAAGGGCCTGCTGTGATTGACTTACGGTAACACTGGACCCATGGTGCCCAGAAGCTCTACATGCTGCTGTCAAGTAAACCGGAGGAAAGCAGACCGTTAAGGGCTGGCATAGTCAGCTTTCAGCTCTGCCATTCTCTGGCCGCAACCCACCTTGTTCCAGCTGCCATAGTTATAGGGGATGTTATCTTAGGATGCAGGAAAGCCTGGTCAGTCTGGTGCTCTCCTTTGCCAGTAGTATGTCTCACTGCTCGTTTCTTTTGGTAGCTGCTATGGTTCCTGACTCTTTCTCCCCCGTTTCTGCAGGCTGGCAGTTTGGCTCCACCGGTGGCCGCTGTGGTATTTTCCCCACCAGCCTTGTGCAATTGGCTGCAGCCCCTGATCACCTCAGCACCAGCATGGACAGACGTGGAGGGCTGCGGAAGAGCATGAAAGCTTCCCCGGAGAGCAGGAACACCAGCAGGGAGGTGAGTCGTCTTTAGGGAACTGCTAGGCGACGTGGCCGGGTTCTGTGGGAGCTGCCAGGGTGGGTCCATGGCCCTGGTAGTGTCTGACCTCCAAGGCTAGAGGGAAGAAGATGACTGCTTAATCCTTACAGACGGAGACACTCAAATACTGTCATAGTGGGAGGGGGAGGCAACACACACAGATGAGGCCTTTCCAGGTCTGGCAGGTGAGGAGAATACACACTGCGGTTCCTCAGCTGACTATTCAGGGTGGGTTTGGTGCCTGTCCCTGCAGAGTTCTGTTCCCAGCCTGATATCAGAACCCGACAGCGTCATGTTAGTCCCTGCTGGCGATCATTATACCATGATGGACTTCGCCATAGCCTACTTCCGAGAGGCTCAGTCCATGTGAGTAGGCTGTGGTCCTTCTTGAACAGGCACACACAGGACCTGTGTAGCCTGACCCACACCAAGCCGTTTCTGGGGTTATTTCTTAGGCTGCATGTTCTCGCTCTTCTGTCTAGGCAGGGACTGAACGGGATTTCTGCTGAAAAGAAGAGTGCAGCTGCCCTGGTCCAGCACACCAAGGTGAGCTCAGTCTCTCCCCATGGCTACAGCCAGAATCCCAGCTCCAGCATTGCCTCTAGCTTTGTCCCCACATGGCAAAAGCACAGAGGGCAGATCCTTGGCTGCAGTCTCTGGGGAAGCATCGGTGCCCCCTACTCTTCAGTGCTGCCTGCAAGATACTGGGAGCCTGTGTCTTTCATGAAGCCTGCAGCACAGCTCTGTGCGACCTGCCTCCCCAGCTTACCCTTGTATTCTGGCCCTGCAGGTCCCAATCCAGGAATCTTTGCTCCGGTACGCTGATAGTGAACTGAATGAGCTTGCTACAAAGAACTTCAGGAGTAAGTACCTCCCTAGGACACAACACTGCAGAGGCTGGAGCGGGGGTGAGTGGGACGGCCTTGGTGGCCACGCATAGGCGTCATGGGGCCCAGCGTGGGGAATGAAAACTGAGAGGAGGGCCCCTCCTAAGGCATTTCTGCAGTTAATAACCACCTGTGTCCATGCTGAAAGCGTCCAGCAAAATACACTTTGAGTGCAAAGTGCCCAAGAACGCACACTGCCTGGGCTGATGCCCCACCGACACACACGTCCAATGCAAGCCTCGTAATAGCCCATGGAACAGAAAAGCTTTCAGGACATTTTCTAGTCTACTGCCTGCCCCACGGCAGGATCACCTCTGCTTAGACCTAAATGCTAGCCTTTGCTTTGCAGCTCTGATGCAGTTCATGGGAGATCAATCAAAACTCAAGAACCAGAATGAGGCTGAATGCATCTATGAAATCCTTCAGGTTTGTGACCTCCCCCTGGGCAAGGTGTTGAAGCACTGATGGGAATGAAGAGCCAAGACCTTGCTGGGAAGGGAGAAAGCAGGGAGAGCCATAATGCAACCTCCTACATGAGAAAGGGAGCTGAAACAGAGAGGCTGATTAAAAAACATGGGGGGGAGGGTTGCATGTAGATGACTTCCCTGGATATCACTGTCTGGATGAGAGCACAACCTGCCTCTCCTTCTTTGGGCCCAGATAGCACTAGAGACCAGAGGCTGCAAAGCCCAAGCTTTAAGCCACATTGGCAGAGCTCTGGAGCTGGGAGCAGAAGGGCACAGAGATGCTCTCGTCCCCTCTCTGACGCTCTCATCCCCTCTCTGATGCTGTCTTTTCCTCTCTGAATGCAGCTGTGCAAGGAGAAGGAGAGTTTGCATGATGAGGTCTACTGCCAGGTCATCAAACAGGTCACCCACAACCCTAACCAGTGAGTACCAGCACTGTCAGCTCCTGTGCCTGCACAGCTGGAGGGGAACTGTCTGCCTTGCTGCATAGGCAGCAGCGCCAGGAGAGAGGCTGACCCCTGATGATGTACTATCCCTCGCTGCTCAGTTGCTGGGGCTTTTGCTGAGCGCTCAGGGAATTTAGCAAGTCACCGGGGTTTGGCTTTTTCACTTCAATGGATGTTTGTCCTTCTATCTCTGGCTGCTGATGTATCTGGGCACTGCTAAACATTCCTGGTAGCTCCTGGTAGAGGCGCTGCTCAGAGCCCTGATTTCCTCTTCACAGCCCTGGGGAACTGGTACAACAGTTAGGACTGGCTTGACCCCACGCTGCCCTGTGGTATGGCAGCAGTGGCATCAGAGTGGCCTTGACTGTTCCCTTTCTCTGTTTGCTGTTAGAATAACTAAATGAATCCCTTCCTCAGCAGAAGAAACCTCTGACCAAGGGCCGCCACCTCATTTTCTGCCACCTGCCACAGGTGTTCAGAAGGGCAGAGGCTCACTTTGAGCTGCTTGGAGCAGTAACTGTCTTGTTCCAAGGTGCTCACAGTTCTTTTTGCCCTGCAGGGAGAGCGTGCTGCGTGGTTGGTTGCTCCTAAACCTGCTAACTGGGTACTTCCTCCCTTCTAACATCCTGATGCCCTATGCCACCAAGTTTCTGCAGCTAGCCAGCAGTGACCCATCCAGCACCCACCATGGTATGACTGTTTGCGTCCTGTAAAATAAACAGCTGCCCCCTCGTTTACTAAAGCTCAGTGGTCAAAGAAGACAGGATCCAGGTGGGGACATGGTCCAACAGGGAAATCTCCCTTATCCTGTTAGGCAGGAGAAATGAGTGGGGTACTGAAGGACCTGAGCCTGCAGGCAAGATTCTGCTTTGTATCTCTAGTCTTTCTGTTTGCAGAGGTAATTTCCCATTGCATCTTCACCCAGGCAAGGTGGAATTGTGTGTCTCTCTGAGGCTTAGCTTAGCCCTGCTGCTTAGGCTCAGTTTGACAGCTAGACCCTGGGGGAAAGGCAGACTGTGGTCTTCCAGAGTCATCAGCTGTGAGGTATTTGGGTTGGAATCCTGCCAGAGAAGAGGATTCTAATTCTTCCATCCTGTCGTTCCTGTGTACTCCTACTACCCTGGACAGTGTCTGGGGTTGGCCCCTCATGATTTGGATGTGTCCTGGCAGAGCGGGAGATGAGGTCAACTCTCTTTCCTCTCCTAGCGGTGGCCCTGGGTTAAATTCAACACAGTCAGGATGACCCAGCACCATAGGAGACAATGTTAAGTCCTCTGTTTGGCTCAGCACATGAAGCTTTTTCCTTTTCTTGCAGATATAGCCAAGATCTGTCAGAGCAACCTGCGGAAAAATTTCATGTACGGGGGCCGTCGCCGCCTTCCTTTCCCTGTGGAGATAGAGGCATTGCTGGTATTGAGGGGCAGAGAAGTGGGGATGCTGGGAAGAGAGGGAGGGCAGAGGTTTGCCAGGAGGTGCCATGTGCAGTGTTACAGGGGCGGTTAGTGTTCCAAGAGAGGAAACGAGGCACGTGTCTGCAAGGGGACTGGGAAGTGCAATGCCATGGAGTAGGCAGGGGTGTGGGCAGGGAAGAGGCAGGTACTACGGGCAAGTAGTGGAAGGTGGAGATGAGAAGGAAGGAAGAGGGAGGAAGAATTGTGGGGCTGATGGGATCCTGCACGTCCCGCATGACATCAAAGACTGTCCTTTGCAGAAGGGGCGTGGTGCCCGCCGGCTAGTGATACTGATGCCTGGAGGCATGGAATACCTCACCAGAGTTAAGACATTCACTGTGAGTTTTCTGCTTTGAATTTCTTCATTGAGCTGGACTCTGAGCCACACCAGGGAACTCCCTTATCTGTCAAAACCTTGGGCTTGGCCTGTGCTTCCCATGGTGCTGTGACAGTTTCCCTACTCACTTCCTAGGAATCCCTGTAGCAGTGTATCTCTGCAGGGCCTGCACCACGCTGGGACGCCTCACCCAGCTTGCTGCTTTGCACAACGGCCAGAGCCATACTGCTGCCCTCTAACGAGCCCAGTATGTTGAACTGCTCTGAGGCTGCTTTGGGCTTGCCTGGTCATAGTACTTATTCGCCTCTTTCCTCGCTTCAGGTGGCCAAGGAGCTCTTGCAGGAGATCTGTGAGCAGATGGGGGCAGGTGAACAGGAAGAGATACAGGAATTTGTTCTTTTTGCCATCAGGAGTGACAGCAATAATCTTGGCAAGTGGAGACTAGCACCTAGGTTCTTTCTTAAAGCAGTTTCTCCAACAGGGAGTACCATGGCTACTGTTTCAAATAGTTCCCCCACCGTTGCTGGCTCTGGGGAGGTCCCTCTTCAGCAGTTTCCCTCTGTATGAGCGTTAAGGAGTGTGCCTTCTCAGGGGCTGTGTTGCTTGCTCCTGAACGAAGTGTGTGTGTCTGTGTGGGTCCGTGGCCCTTGGGAATGGCTGATGCTGGGAGTCATAAGGGCAGGGTGGAATAGAGGTGTGCAGGAAGGCTCCTGTCCCAGGCCATGGAGCTCAGCCCACTGTCTCAGCACCAAGAGTGATGACCCTCTCTCTGTGTAAACACGTAGATAAAACGGTGAGGCCGATAAGATCAGAGGAGTATCTTCATGATTACCTGCTGGAGGACAAGTTGGTCACTGTGACTTTACGCAGGCTCATCTGGAGGACGCCTCTGCACTTTGAGAACAGAATTTATACTGATGTTCATTATGGACAGGTAAGCAACAAGGGCAGTGTGCACCAGGAACCTCCCTAGCAGGGGCAGAGTTAGTGTACAGGCCAATGGGAATTTCCCAAGGGAGCTGAAGAAGCAGGAGGGCTTTGGCTGATGGGCTTTGTATGCTGTTTCTCAAATGACTAATAACTGAAGCTATGGATGCAAGGAAGGCAGTGTGCCTGTAGCCCTAGCCTATGAGCTGCACTGTTCTAGACTGTGCTGTCTCTCAGATGCTGTGGGATTACCTGAATGGGAAGATACTGTTGAGCCGTAGTAAAGAAATGGAGATGCAGGTGGGCATTTTGGCAATGCTCCAGCACTGGGCCAAAACAGAGCAGCAGAACTCTGATCCCTCCAGGTATGTTTGTCTCAGGGTGGGTCTCTATCTCTAACGGCTGTTGGCACCACAGGGGTTAGGGGTAGGTGCCTGAAAGTACTCTCTGGATAATTAAGGAACGGGCAGTTCTGGAGAACATAAACTACTAATGGATGTCACTACTCGGTGACTGACTCCTGCCCGCAATCAAGAAAGCTTACCTCCTGTTCACGCTCTTAATGCTGTCTGGCTCTGATGCACATTCCCTTTTGTGACTCCTTCTGAGCTGAGGGTCATGAGGGTGCCATGGACGTTTCTTTTGACTGCCATGTGTTTGTAATACCGAGAAGGAAGTGTATGAACTTATAGTGGGGATGAATGCTCCTTTGTTCTTTCTCACAAGTGCCAGAGTTTTCAACCCTGGGCACTTGAAATCTGTAGTGAGATGCCTAATGGGAATGAAAACGTCCCTGGGACCTGGAAAGCTTCTGTCCTGCAGCCCTGAGCTGTATTTTCACACTCCTTCCTTCCCATATCCTTATGCACTTAGAGTGGAGGTAATGCCTCCACCAGATCCCCTCACACCACCAGCAGGAGGTAATGGCATAACCCTGCTGGGCACAGGGAACTCTGCTCTCTGTAGTGCTTTGGAGGCACAGGAGCAAGACAGAGTTGGAGTAAGGTGTTTTTCAGCTGAGGCTGCCTGTGAAAGCAATACCTTGTGGCTCTACTTCCATGCTACAGTCCTTGCTTGAAGAGCTCCTGTTGTCTCCAGAAAGGAGGGACTAGTCAGTGGTGCACAGCTGCCTTCTGCGTGGAAAATGGTGGTCTCGCTGTCTCTGTTTCCTTCCACGTTATCCAATCCAGATATGACCTGCTGTGCTCTTCCCCTCTCCCTCCACCCTTGCCCCCAGCCATGCAACTGAAAACTGTTGCCGCATCCCCTCCTTCCTCTTAATCTCCCTGGTTGATCTTTTGATTTTAGCTGGGCAGGGGGTGAATTAGTATCTGCTTGTTGGCACAGGGAAGAGCTGAAGGAGTACACGCCAAAGACCCTGCAGTCCTCCATCAGTCCCCAGGCTCTGCAGAGCTATGTTGGCATGCTGCTGAGAAGCAGGCAGCCCTTCCAGCCGGTGGATGCAAAAATCCAGTTCATAGGTGAGGAGACATCCAGATCTGCTTGAGTCATCTATCCTGAGCATGATGGAAGCTGCTCTGAATGTGCTTTTGGGACAGTTCCTGAGGTTGGCGAGGATCCTTGGAGTCTGGAATGGGCCATGACATATGACTCCCTGACAGCCTCCCCCTGCAGATTGGCACTTGATCCCAAGCATGGTGATCATGGTAGAAGTCTCACTTCTTTTGCGGAAGTCCGCAGTAGACTTCCAGAGCTCTGTACAAGTTGTGTTTTAATTAATATTCTGGCTGCACGTCTGTTTTTTGGTCAGAAAAGAACGGGACATCCATTCAGATGTCCATCCATCCATCTCATGCTGAGAATTGAGTATCAGCAGCCTGGGAGGGAGGGAGAAGTTGTCAATCTTACTTTTTAATGCAGAAAAGCTTGGGAACACTTGCAGCTTTTGACCACCTTAGGTTGGTGCGGTGGATTGCTGGCTGGAAGCTGCTGCCTGAAAGCCACCTTTTGCTTTCTTACAGAGCATGTGATGAAATTGCCTTTCTTTGGCTACAACATCTACTTTGTAGAGAGAGTCAGCGATAACACAATCCCCGTGCCCTGTTTCTGTGGCGTGAATAAAGAAGAGATCATTGAATGGCTGATGCTGGGAGTCATAAGGGCAGGGTGGAATAGAGGTGTGCAGGAAGGCTCCTGTCCCAGGCCATGGAGCTCAGCCCACTGTCTCAGCACCAAGAGTGATGACCCTCTCTCTGTGTAAACACGTAGATAAAACGGTGAGGCCGATAAGATCAGAGGAGTATCTTCATGATTACCTGCTGGAGGACAAGTTGGTCACTGTGACTTTACGCAGGCTCATCTGGAGGACGCCTCTGCACTTTGAGAACAGAATTTATACTGATGTTCATTATGGACAGGTAAGCAACAAGGGCAGTGTGCACCAGGAACCTCCCTAGCAGGGGCAGAGTTAGTGTACAGGCCAATGGGAATTTCCCAAGGGAGCTGAAGAAGCAGGAGGGCTTTGGCTGATGGGCTTTGTATGCTGTTTCTCAAATGACTAATAACTGAAGCTATGGATGCAAGGAAGGCAGTGTGCCTGTAGCCCTAGCCTATGAGCTGCACTGTTCTAGACATGGCTTT